TAATTAGATCTTAACAGAATTTTCTGAATAGTTAAGATTGAAGGATTTTTTTTTCTTTTACTAATTTTAGCTTATTTTTTATATTCTACTTTGTATGGTAATCCTGAGTACCGTCAATTGTCATATATTACTCCAGTATACAAGATGTGTCTAGTTGTTCTAATAATGAATTAGACACATTTTAGCTTAATTTCAAGTATAAATGCAAAACATATTGAAATACTGGACATTATCCTCAGATGCCTTTTTAGCATTGTCCCCGTTCTTCCTACGTAATTTTATTTATATAACTGGAATGACAGAGTGGTAACATTTTATTATAGATACAGACACAACTTTTCAAAAAAATTATCTCTATGTCTGGGACCACTTTTTAAATCTTATTTGCATTTTCAGAATCTAACAAAGTACTCAGTACACTGTAGGTACTTGGAAAAAAGTATGATAGTATTGACATGGCATATTAGAACACCTTTGAATCTACCAAACTTATAAGTCAGGACAAAAAATCTTAGGTCCCACAAGCTTCTCAAGAGTTAAATTAGTTAGAATTGTAGTGACTTGCATCCCCTAGGGTACCCTTGTTTATTGATATATCCCTGTGTTGCTAATGAAGTGATCAGTAGAAAGTAGGTTGCCTCTGAGCTCTCTAAGAGTTTCTAGGGGGGATTTTATTTTAGATCCACAACCCTTTACCAATTTGTGATGATGAGCTAACAAAACGGGGTTTTTCTTAAAACCTGCAGTTGAACAGGTTTGCCCCCTGTGGTAGTAGTCTATAGAATAACTATGTTCTTGGCAAGGGAATCCCAGGGACTTATACCATACACAAACTCTGAAACCTAGTTTTTCATTCTGTTTTTTAAAGACACATTTTAAAAATCTATAGATACTCAGGGGCTGGGGTTGTAGTTCAGTGGCAGAGCCTAGCACGTGTGAGGCACTGGGTTCAATCCTTAGCACTGAATAAAATAAACAAATAAAGGCATTCTCTCCATCTACAACTATAAATTTTTTTAAAAAAATTCATAGATACTAAGCATTATTTATTTCAACTACTTTTATTATAAGAATTCTCGTTATTCATTGAATAAAGGTCATTCTATTTGAGAAAGGATGCTTCATGTAGGCAAGATAGGTTTAGCAAAACATTTTTTGTTTGCTGGTTTACTATGTTGTTAAGTTAAGTGACCTACATATTGCTTATTAAATCTCAGCTTACATTGTGGTCAAGGAGGGATATTGATGCTACCACAAATCAAAATGATCAAATTCTGAAATGTATTTTGTGTTTTGACTTTTACTAGGGTGTTTTGTTTTGTTTTGTTTTCAGAAGAGTAGAAAGGGGGAAAAATGGCTTACGAACAACATAACTTTGATAATTTGTGTTTGTTCCATATACATTTATTAGCAGGCAGGCTGAAACAGTTTGTGCAGTTTTTTAAAACAGGAGTAATATAAGTAACTAAACGATTTAAAATATAAAAATAAAATTCTTTCTCAATTCCTTTCTTTCTCCAAAAATTTCTTGATATCCTTCCAAGAAAAATTTTAATGTATCTGTATATTGTTAAAGAAATTATACAAAAGGCTTTGTGCTGTACATTGTGTTTAGCATTTTTTAAAAAATTTCATTTAGTATACCTTGGCAAACTTTTCATATCAGCATATTCAAATCTATGTTATTATTTAACAATTTTTATATGAATGGGCTATTCTTAGTTTACCAGTCTTACATTGATAAACATATAGATTGTTTACTGTTTTGTTGCAATGTTGTAGTGAAAATCCTATCTGTATATTTTCGAACAGGATCATTTGAGCAGTGAAGTTGTTGGGTCAAAAGGAATGAGCATTTATAATTTTGAAGACATTTTCAAATTGCCATCCAAAGGTATCAATTTTAACTCCTGTCAACAGAGAGTAATGCAGCATACTCATTTTCCATACTCTTTTCATTGTCAACAACCCAAGGTTTTTTTGTTATTGTTTTTTATTTCTACTAGTCTAGTAGGTAAGCTAAATAATATTTTAAAGGGAAATATTTTTTTAAGTATTCTGAAGAATTAGGAAATTTTTGAAAAGCCCAAAACCATCTTTATTTCTTTTTTATGTTTTACATATTAAGAGATGAAATTGGCCTGATCCCATGCCCTGAAGCAAGGTATAACCGAAGTCCCATAGTCCTGGTTGAAAACAAACTTGGTGTGGAGAGCTGGTGTGTCAAGTTCCTTTTACCATACGTCCACAATAAGCTCCTTTTGTACAGAACGAGAAAGCAATGGCTGAACAAAGATGGTAAGTATCAATCATGTGTCTTCCTCTGGTTTTTAGAAGCAGCTTGGAACATAGTGAGAAAAGCCCTTGTTTGGTTGTTGATATTCCTGGATTCCAGTTTCAATTCTTCCCTTCACTGCCTGGGCATGTGTGAGGTGAGGAATTTGGACTAGATCATTAGTTTTCAGATTTTGCAACCACAGTGATTATATGGCAGTGCCTTAAGCAGAATTCTAAGCCACCTGCTACAACCAGAACAGTTTTGATTTACCTGTTAATAATTGAGGTCATTTTAAAGATTTTATTCGAAGATCGAATCTTATGGCTTTTAAATAAAAAATTTGACTATTACTGAAGAGGGCTGTTACCCTACTCCTGTTACCTTTGATTTCTGATCCTTTAGCATTTCATGGGCAATAGAAATTGTTTTTGTAGCACTGCAGATGAGATAACAGAGGTGTGGTGGTGGTAGTTATACTGTGAACCAGCCCAATGATTTATGAATATACCATTGCACTGTGAATCCTAATTGAGCTGTGGCCTTCTGAGTCCTGCTTTTGTGCTGAAATGGGGGTGGAGGAATCAGAGCATCCAATCTCCAAAACAATTCTTTACTGCAAGAGATAGTCCTTAATTACCCACCTGGTTTTTTTCTTAGCATTCTCTCAAATTAGCCTCTGTGTTTATCCTTTTGGTCTCACCTTAGGTCTTACTTTGGGGCAGAGTAGTCACCTAACACCATATCCTGAACTGTTTTTATAAAGCTTCTTTCTCTTCCCACATACAGCAGTACGTTCAAAAGTGCTCAGTGTGCCTGTGGGCTGATTTTGAATGAGAACTTTGTTTTCTGGAGAATTTTAATTACCAGTTTGGTAGCCATTACCAAGGGCCTACTCATACCAGAAGCTATTCTAAGTACTGTGGAAGATAAAAGATGAATAATACATGGTCCCTTTATTTCAGAAGTTTATAGTTGAGTGACAGTGTCTTTGAGGGTGTGAGATGGAGAAGAGTGTTGCCAAAGGTATCATATACTGATTTTTCTAAATGCATCTTGGCATTGGCCTTAATATATTGTCATAATAGGTTAACCCTTTTCCTGTTAGACCATAAAAAGAGTCTGCTTTGAAGATTTAATAAGAAGTAGTTTCTATTTTGCATTTGATTGTTTCGCTTGATGTTTTATTTAGCTTTTTGTTGCTGTGACCAAAAGAACTGACCAGAAGGAAAAATTTATTTGGTGTTCAAAGGTTCAAAGGTCTCAGTCCATAGATGGCAGGCTCCATTGTTCTGTGTCTGAGGTGAGACAGAACATCATGGAGGAAGGTGTGCATGGAGGAAAGCAGACATGACAATCAGAAAACAAAGAGATCCCCTCACCATGGACAAAATATAAACTCTAAAAGCACACCCCCAGGGGTTCACCTCTTCCAGCCATACCTTACCTACAGTTACCACACAGTTAATACTTTTCCATGGATTAATGTACTGATTAGGTTAAGGCTCTCATTACACAATCATTTCACCTCTAAACTTTCTTATAGTATCTTAACATACGAGCTTTTCTGGGATACTTCATATCTAAACCAATAGTTCTTTAATATATATTTTTCAATTATATCAACTTAGATATAAATTTTGAGGTAAAAGTTTAGACATAAATGTAAGGGTATTTGTCTTTCGGTAGATCCTCTATAATTGTTCCATTACAATATCATAGGCTTCAGTAACATTGAGGTAGAAGTTAATATCATGAATCCTTTATGTTATTTTTGCCAAACAAAGCTGCATTGTTTGTATTTTGATAAGAAATGTACAATTGAGCCAATATTTAACTAATTTTGCAGGTGGGGGGTGCTGGTGGAGTGGAAAAGAAACAGTTTTTAAAAGCCAAAGGCTGTGTTGGTTTCAGAGCATTAGCTTTTGCCCATTCATGTATGCTAACTCTACCCACCTCCTTCCTGTGTCCATCTACATCCTTCTTTCCATTTCTGTTTCTTGCCCTTCTGGGCTCTGTGGCTTTGTTCTATCTCCTTATCACATACGTTTAGTCTTGATAGGCCCAGGAGGACCCTTGAAGATTAGATGGTTAAGCTCACTCACTCAAATATCTGGGGTCTTAGCTTTAAGTTCTGTAGTGACTACATATGCATGGAAGTAGGTTTTGAGTTTATCCCTATCATGTGTCCTTATGGAAGCAATTTTCAATTTCACTTTTTTTTTTTTTTTGGTGGGCAGGAAGGTGGTTTAATGTGGTATCACATGTAACTCAGGTTTATATTATTAGTAAAAATAAGGAAGTAAATTTCTGATTTGACAGAAAAAGATCTGAAAATTTTAATATGAATATTCTGCTATTTTTATGAACTGAAGCAATTAGAGCATTGAGGTAAATCTTGCTAAGAAATAAAATGTCAAAATTGTTTAAAAAAAAGTTATTTCATGGAAATGGCATTCCTTTAAAACCAGTTTTGAAGAAAATACTATATGTATAAAAAGAGTCAAGTGAAGAAAACTGACAACTTACAGAACAGTTTCACAATGTCAGTGTCTGTATGATTGATCAGGCCAGAATTATAGGCATCCTTGTAAGAATGTATTCTGTAATTCAAGGTAATTTGTACTCCCAAGATAGTTTTTTCCTTCTTGACCAAACTGAATTCATGTTCTTGTTAACATGTCAAGTTCCTTAGATATTTGGAAAATAGTTAGCGATTGGTGGGTGTTTTTTTTTTTTTTAAAGCCTATAATAGTAATAGCCATATTTGCTTTGGGAGAGGAATGATACTATAATTCATATTTTTTAGAAATCCATAGCAAATACAAAGCAAGAAAGAACCCTGACTGGGCAGAGCTTTCTCCTGCACTCTCTCTGAATGTGCCATATTGTTATCTTTTTTCACTCTTACTTTTCTCACAACCACAACACTCTCCTCCTCCACCCCTGCCCAATTCCAATCCAAAACTGAGCTCATTTGTTTTGCTAGCTAGGCCTTCATTATTTCTGGAGAAATGTTATTACTTCATAACTGGTCTACCCCATTTTTATGCTCTTCAATAATCCATGCCCTTCATGCTACCAACTAATCA